CCTTTTCCTTTGCAGTTTCTTAGGAGTAGATGCAGCTGCTGCAACATCAAAAGTTGTCACTCCAATGGAAAATCAATGAAATACCACAGCACTGTCATATCTATAAACAAATCAATAAACACAGGCCATCCGTTGCCACGTCTTAGTTCAGGAAGRCCACTCTATATGAATTTACATTCTGYGGAYGTATCCYGAGCTGAATAAGTGACTGTTTCTTGCATCTCATAGGTGCTTTTGCCCCAAATTTACATGTATGCATAAGATACATGGATTTGGTAGCAGTCCAGAGGCTTTCTGATGAGACTTCTGTGTCTCTCAACACCATCCGGCTTCTTCTGATGGTAGCAGCAGATCCATGTTGGTCATTCATAACTACTCCTGGTATCTGTAACACATTGGGATAAGCACTCAGATTTTGCYTTTGATAAATCTTCTCCAKACTCTCCACTGGTATCTCATCCCTCTTTGTATCCGATGTTTGGATCACTTCCTGTTCTTTCATGGTATTCAGTACTCTAGTGGCCTCACTCACCAAACCAATGGCACGCCAAGCCTCTGCTACAAGTTGGATAGTGTTTKCCTCAGGCAAGACACCCACCTCTTCCATGGTTTGGAGCATCTCTTCTGCTTTCCATGGCTGTTTTGCTTCTCCATATCCCCATATCAGGGTATCAAATGTCTTCAAATTGGGAGAAACACCAAATTCACACATCTTCTCAAAAACTCTCATTGCATATTCCATTTTGGATGCACTGCACCATCCACTGATTATAGTAGTAAAAATTACAACATTAGGGACTACATCTGATTCAACCATGGCTGTCAAGAGTGCCTCAGCCTTCTCAGGTTCTCGTGCACRCACATAACCTTTTGCAAKAATGCTGTATGCATGGGTATCAGGTTCAATACCAGCCTTCAACATGTCATCAAATATCTCCCTGCATCTATCCATGAGTCCTGCTGCACTCCATGCATTCATGATAGTGCTAAATGTTRTCACATCTGGTTTGACGCCAAATTCTTCCATCAATGTTAGAACCTGCCCAAATAATAACCATCATAACTCCTAGCAAAATTTAGTGGTTTGTGAGGAAAACACAGTTTCTGAAAAYTCAATAACTTATAAATCCATAATAGCATGATCAAGTTGAAATTTAAAAAGTGGAAATTGGAAAAATGAAAGGAATAAATTGATAAGATGAATGAAAGAAAGAATTTAAAAGAAAAAAAATTAATATATTGGAATGCAAATACACAGGTAATTTGCTTTATAACCTAGATATAGACACAAGTTGGTGCTCAATAACCCTTACAATATTTTAATTACAAGCAAACTGGTTATGGAAAAGAMACACCGTTTAAAATTGATAAAGCCATGCTGGCTTTAAAGTCATTATCAGATTAAATCCTWTAATAATCAAACAAATATCGTAGAACATATTCCAAATTGTTTGATTTKTAAAATAAAGACACCCAGATCAAGAGAATCAAGATCTATTGTGCTACATATTGAAAGTGATTCAGTGATGTTGGCRGGAGCTTTTAATAGGAAATGGTAATTGATCTTGGGTGTTAGTGGGATAGATAAGTAAAATCCAAGATATGTCCATARAACAAGCATTTACAGGGAAGAGAACAAAATAGCAGACACACTTGCAAAKATAYGAGCAATGGAGCAAAGCAAAAGGATATTTCACACAGTAGGTGATCTTCTGTGTTTGGAAAGAGGGCATTATTCTACAGATAATGTGGGGTTTACTGACATAAGAGAATGGTAACAATGAAAGGTTCAGATCCAT